AGGAAGGCCCTGGCGGCGGGGCAGCCGGGGACGTGGGTGGCCATACGTCCACCGGGGGTCCCTCTGGCCGGCTGGGCGCGAGACAGCGGGGACAGGCGACGGAGACCGCCCCAGGCAACGAGGCCGTGCGTCCCAGCCCGGCCCCCAGCGAGCCCTGGGAAGCGGGCGGCCCCCACGCCGGGTCTCCTCTGGCTCTCTTTTCGGCCTGTCCAGTCTGTGGCGGACTCAAGGTAAACCCCCCTCCCTGAGAGCCGCAGACCTGGCCCCGCAGCTGCCATGGGTCTGGGTCCGCCCCTCGGGACGGGAGAGGAGGGGGTGCCGGCTTCTTTGCAGATAGGGTGCTGGGTGCTGTGGGCAGGCCTGGGGATGTCCGGGGCCGGAAGAGGGCCCTTGGCCGCTGTGGGGGGGCTGATTCGCAGAGGCGAGCTCTGGAGGGTCGGGCTCTGGGGTCACAGAGCCCGGAGGCCCAGCGGCTCCGCTTCTTGTTGCTCACCCTCGCCCAGAGGCCCGGGTGCTGGGGTCAGGCGGGCACTGCGGCTCTGACGGCCGGGCCGTGCTCTGGGGTGCCGCGGCCGAGGGCCCGCGGTCCGTGTCATCTCTGGCCCCCTCCAAGGATAGCCGATTCTTACCCATCACACTCACAGTGCAGCCGGGCCCCCCCACCAAAATCCATGCCCCACAGCAGCCTGAGACGCCGAGGGCCACGGGCACAGCTCTGGGCTCCGTGTGCCAAGCTCCTGCAGCACCCACAGGTGGCACGGCCGCCCCGTCTACGGGGAGGAAACTGAAGCTCAGGGAGTTCCATGACTTGCAGGGTCTCTGGGGATTGCACCCGCTGCTCCCCACGCCGACCTTTGTGGGAAGGCTCCAGGAGCGGCTTCCCAAAGCAGCCGCTGTTCCACCCATCGGGCTCGCTAGGGTCAGCGTGCCCGGCCCTGCGGAAGCCTGCTGGCTCTCTCCTGAGTCTTCCTGCTGGGACCAAGAGCCACACCGGGGGAGGCTCCAGGCCCTGCCCCCGGGGTCGCCGGCCCCAAGCTCAGCCCCCTGGGTTGGGGGCTCCCTGCTCGGTTCCCCTGCGTCGGAGGCGTGGCCGGCGTCCTCCCACGCTGGACCCCTGGCAGGCCTGTCTCGCGCCGTCCGGGGTAGGCCCTGACCCTGGGCCCACCGACCTCCCTGACACACACTTGGGTTGTACCTCGCTGTCGCTGGCGGTGCTGCGCGGACGTTCTAAACCGGACACTGTTTGTACTACGTTCTCAGACCGAAATAAAGTGCTCTTTTCTTACCTCTGTGTTGTCTTCCGTTGGGCACTCCCCTCTGGGCCCCTGCCAGGATCTGAAGTCCCTGGCCGGGCCCTCGGCCCTCAGTCTCAGAGAGGAGCGGGAGGCCTGGTCCGGCCTGTCACCCCAGGCCTGAGTGCTGGGGCGGTGCAGAGAGGCGACTCCCAGCCGGTGTGTGTGTGACGTGTGTGCCTGTGTGTGCGCACACGTGTGCGCGCCCTGGAGACCACAGAAAGGTCGGTGGTGGCCTGTGGGCTCAAGCCCAGGCTCCCACCTCCAAGGGACGGTGGACCCTCTGTCCTGGGCCAGCAAGGGGCTGGCACCGAGCCTGGGGCCCTGCCCTGCTGGTCTTCCTGTGGGGGGCCGAGCTCCAGGCGGCCCACCAGTCAGCCTGGCACACCGGTGGGGGGCGCTCTGCTCATCTGCGCCCTGGTCCACCACCCCACTGAGGCTGACTCTGTGAGGGGTGTTCTAGAGGGAATCCTGCAGCGAAGTCCCAGGAGGCAGGCAGGCTTTGGGGGTTGAGCTCGGGTCTCGTGCCCCGTCCACTGGTTGCGTGGCCCCAGCAAGTCTGCGCTTCTCTGAGCCTCAGTTTCCTATTCCATAGACGGGACAAGAGTCCCTGCCTTGATGGGCTGCGCCGAGCCGGTCCGGTGTCCATGCTGGCGCTCAGTAGACGTGTGCCACTGCGACTGTCACCCCCGCTGCAGAGGGGGCTGGGTCAGTCTTGCTGCAAAGCTGACAGGGCTGTGGCTGCTTGGGCAGGGAACCAGGCCCTGCTCCCGCCAGAGCCTGGCATCACCTGCGCTCAGCCTGCTGGGTTCCCACAGGCAGGGGCAGGGTCCCTGCAACAAGAGCAGATAGAAGTCTAGGAGCCAGGCTCGGTGGCTCAGCCTGTCATCCCGCACTTTGGGAGGCTGAGGTGAGTGGATTGCCTGAGCCCGCGGGTTCGAGACCCGCCGGGCAACTTGGCGAGACCTCATCTCTATAATAAATCAAAAAATTAGCTGGGCGTGGTAGCATGTGCCTGTAGTTCCAGCTACTCGGAAGGCTGAGGCGGAAGGATCGCTGGAGCCCGGCAGGTGAGGCTGCGGTGGCCGGGAGCGGCCGCTGCACTCCAGTCTGGGCAACAGAGTGTGACTCCAACTCAAAAAAAAAAAGAAGCCTAGGTGATGAGTGACTTCCCTGTGAGGGTGGGGAGGCCGGAGGGGACATTCTGGGTGCCACTGCCCCGTGTGGGCATCCTGGCCCTGGATACGCATCTTCAGGGATGACGGGGAAGGGCTGTGCAGGGGGTGGGG